AACTAGCCACTCACCTTGGCCTCCCAAAGTGCTGGGATTACAGATGTAAGCCACTAAGCCTGGCCAAAAATCATTCTTTACTTCATTCAAGAACTTTGAAAACTTACCTTTTCTTAAGTTATTTAAGGATGCTCTAGTTAAGTGAGGACATATGCCAAGAAGAAGGAGACAGTGAGGTCCAGGGAACAGCGGGTGTTACCCAAGAATGCAGTGGAGGAGACTCTTAGAGTGACGAGTCCACACCGAACGGGAGAGGGAACGTCTGTGTTTAAAGGGAACTCGGTAGATTGCCTTCATGTGGATAAAAGAGAACAGTACAAAAGGCTGTAAACAGAGTGCAGCGGTTTTGGCCACTCTCACACCAGAGGCATGCTCTTCTCTATTTAGCCCTTTGTGCTAATATTTAACTCTGTGTCTTAACAATATGTGTCTATTGCTAATTCTGCATTTACCAATCGTAGACGTTACCTATTGACCTCCCGCTGTGACAGATGAGCTTTTTAACTCATGCGTCTTCACACATCCTTCTCAAAATATAGTCCAAACAGTATGTGTAGGCCTTTTGTTGTTTACCATTATAACTCTAAGGTATATACATGAGCATGCACACACACACACACACTTCTTTATTTCTTGTGCTACTGGAATCAGTAGCTTTTCTCTCCCTATTGTGTAATGGGAAGCCACCCTTACCCTCAGTTCTCTTCTGCTCTTCCACCTCACTCCGTCTTCTGTAGTTTTATATCGCTGAGGTTAAAAACATTTACGTGGCCGGGTGTAGTGGCTCAAGCCTGTAATCCCAGCACTTTGGGAGGCCGAGACGGGCGGATCATGAGGTCAGGAGATCGAGACCATCCTGGCTAACACGGTGAAACCCCGGCTCTACTAAAAAAATACAAAAAACTAGCCGGGCGAGGTGGCGGGTGCCTGTAGTCCGAGCTACTCGGGAGGCTGAGGCAGGAGAATGGCATAAACCTGGGAAGTGGAGCTTGCAGTGATCCGGCCACTGCACTGCAGCCTGGGCCACAGAGCGAGACTCTGTCTCAAAAAAAAACAAAAACAAAAACAAAAAAAAATAAAAATAAACCCCAAACATTTACGTTCTGTTTCCTCGGCAGAATTACATCTGGCATTTTAGACTATAGATTAATTCTAAAGTTGAAAAAAACATACAGTGTTTATATTATATTTACTATGTCAAGATTATCATCTACTGCACAGCTAGACAGTATAGAGAGATTATATTTCTTTCTTCTACAGATTTTTTTTCCCCTGGGATTTCTAATTGCCTTTCCTTTTAAAAAGATGTATTTGCATATGTGTGTGTGTGTGTGTGTGTGTGTGTGTATTTTTGTAGACATGGGGTTTCACTATGTATATCTTTTAAAAATATATACATATATATCTATGTATCTCTATAGCTATCTTTATATCACTTAAAAATACATATCTATATGTCTTTTAAAAATATTTACATGGCCGGGCGCGGTGGCTCAAGCCTGTAATCCCAGCACTTTGGGAGGCCGAGATGGGCGGATCACAAGGTCAGGAGATCAAGACCATCCTGGCTAACACGGTGAAACCCCGTCTCTACTAAAAAATACAAAAATCTAGCCGGGCGAGGTGGCGGGCGCCTGTAGTCCCAGCTACTCGGGAGGCTGAGGCAGGAGAATGGCGTGAACCCGGGAGGCGGAGCTTGCAGTGAGCTGAGATCCGGCCACTGCACTCCAGCCTGGGCGACAGAGGGAGACTCCGCCTCAAAAAAAAAAAAAAAAAAAATTTACATATATTCATATATATATAAAACACAGGTAAATAACAGAAGAAGTAAAAATCCTGTTTGAGATCATCGTAAAGTGGTGTGAGCTAAAAGTTCATCTGTTGTAGCAGAAAGTCAATAGATAATGTCTCAGATTGGCTGAAAGCAAGACATAGCAATAGATGCCTATAGTTTAAAGACATGGAACTCAAAACTAAGATAAAACACTAACAGATTTAGGGGAGACTGCCTTAGCGGGAGGGGGTATGGTTTTGTTTCATTTTAAGCCTCTCTGTACTGTTCTTTTTAATTTATGTGCACATACGAATTTGATTGAAATTTAAAACAATTTTTTGTAAAGGAAGAAAATATACCAGGATCATGTATTATAATGAGCACTCTCCTTGCTATTGGAATATCTGGATTCTGGTCACTTACGTAATATTCTACTGAAATGTTTTTGTGCAGTTTCAATAGAAAATGCATAACTTTGCCATCAGAAGACCTACATAACCTTGACCTTGCTGTGGTAGTGATCTTGTGTGTGTATTACCATTGCTTTTTATTTATTTATTTGTTGTTATTATTATTATTATTTTGAGATGGAGTCTTGCTCTGTCGCCCAGGCTGGAGTGCAGTGGTACGATCTCAGCTCACTGCAACCTCCGCCTCCCGGGTTCCAGCGATTCTCCTGCCTCAGTCTCCCAAGTAGCTGGGACTACAGGCGTGGGCCACCATGCCCGACTAATTTGTTTTTTGTATTTTTAGTAGAGACAGGGTTTCACCGTGTTGACCAAGATGGTCTCGATCTCCTGACCTCCTTATCCGCCTGCCTCAGCCTCCCAAAGTGCTGGAATGACAGGCGTGGGCCACCGTGCCCGGCCACCACTGCTTTTTTTAAGGCTCTAGATGAATCAACATGAGGGACAGCTTCCTCTTCCTGTGGTGGGGCTGAACCCTGTGATGGAGGGGCGTGTGTGGTGCCTGTGGCGCTTGGCCCTGTGGGGCTGTGAACTCAGCCTTGGGGCTCATCTGTCCATAGCACAGCCCCTTGGGGTCTGCCAGGAGCTGAGCCCCCACCAGTCTGGGGAGAAGGGAGTCAGTGGCCCAGGGACCGTCCTCCTCAGGCGTCATCCCCAGCCCTGAGCTCAGACTTACTCATCTGCCACCATGCCTGAGGAGTGATTAATGCCAAATTAGCACCCTGCTTGGTGACCTTTCGGCATTAGCCACGGCCTCCCTTCACTTCTCATAACTATTTGCAAATATTAGCTTCTCCGGTCGTTTCTCATCAGCGACTTTCACAGGTGACAGGCAGGCCGTTAGTCTGATTGGCATTCCATTCATGTCCTTTGCCCCATCGTGAGTGCATCTGGACTCCGCCATCGCCTCAGAAATCTGATAACCAGCCCAAGAATCTCGGCAATTTTACAAAGGGAAGGCACCAGCAGGAAGGTGTCCGGAGAAGCTTCGAGGGTCCGCTACAGAGTTGGAGAGTCTCGAGACAGGGAAGGCTGCCTCAGCCCCCCAGGGACCCAGGGCTGAGTGAGAGTCAGCCTCATATGCCATCAACATAGAGGTTTTAAAACATTAATTAGTTGACTCTGTCTGCATCAAGCTTCTGTGTTTCTTTGAGGATTCACATGCACCTTTAATACAAAAATCACACACTGCTTAGGCAGTGCAAGCCAGAGCACAGAACTGTGGGAAATCAGTGTTGATGAGAAGCCAGTCCTCTCTCTCCCGTTGTTCTCTCTCAGTGGCCCTCACCCCACCGCCAGCCCAGCAGGCTAGAACCTTTCAGTTGCCAGAATCTTCCTCCGCCGCTCACAATGGTGGCGACTCCCTTCAGCAAGAAGCCCAGATGAAGCGTTTTGGATTTGCAGTCATTTCCCTTTATTTTTATTTCCAGCCTCTTACATCTCCGCCCTTTATTGAAATCCCTGTTCTAGAAATGTTGGATTGGTCTTCATTTTCCCTAAATAAACAGTAGTAAAGTGTACTGCGGGTAGTTTAATTTTGATGTTAAATGTATTTTAGAGAAAAGCGGCCAAAAGTATGTCCTATTTTTTTCTCCCTTGTCACCAGAAGTATGAGCTAAATTATTTATAGTTTGATACTCAAAAAACATAGATTCAGGGTATTTACTTTTCAGAAAGGAAAAAGGGATTAAAACTCCAGTAACGGGACTGAACACTTTGTTAATTGAATATATTGGCTTCAAGGAAGCACATTTGGACAGGACTAAGAATGCCCACTGCTTTCCAATGACACCCGTACCTAACATAGTGGTTGATACACGAAATATTTGTGGAATTGAACAGATTTGGAAATAGCAGGTAGACTAGGTAACTCAGTAAGCAAAGTCTTAAATCAATAAAAGAAAAATAAAGCCAGCAAGCATTTTGGAAAATGCCAAACAGTTTAAATAAAGCCCCTTAGCCACACGACACACGAAGCAGTAGCGTAAGGCCCAGTAACCATGCCCTATAGGACAGGCTGTGGATTGTGCCTGAGGACACTGGCTGTGCTTGGACCCCAGCTCATGTGGTCTGAGAAAGGCCAGGGACGGTGACCCCGCCCCAGAGCTTCTCATGGGGGTTCACATAGGGCTGTGAGATTTGGGTTTCCTATTAACATGGCTCTGACCATGGTCTTCATTTGTCATGCTCCGATCATCCCATCTTCTAGCTGTCATTTCACTTTCTGTGGTTTCCATTACCCTCAGTCAACCATGGTCCGAAAACAGGAGAGTACAGCACAGTAAGATATTTTGAGAGAGAGGGAGGGACCACATTCGCGTAACTTTCATTACCTTATGTTGTCATTGTTCTGTTCATTATTAGTTGTAGTCAGTCCTTAGTGTGCCTCATTTACACATTTACAACAGGTATGTATGCAGAGGGAGGAACTTGGAACAGACGCCCTTCCACGCATGGTGGGGTTATGTTCCCATAAATCCATCGGAAGTTGAAAATATCGGAAGTCATAAATGGGCTTTTGTAGCTCCGTTGTTAAGTCGAGGACTGGACTGAATGTGTGTGGCCTTTGTGCCATCATAAAGTTGAAAAATCCTGTGTGGAGCCATCATGCATCAGGGACATTTTGTGTCTGTAGGGATTGGTTCTTTCTTTGGTTTGAGGTATCCCCAGGGGTGTTGGAATGTATCCCCCTCAGATAAGGGTTGGGGGGAGCTCCTGTACTTAGAGTTTCATGGACATTTCTTTTTTCTCTGCCACAGGAGATATTGGCACACCTGAAACCACGGCCCCCACCATTGTGGTTCCCCCGGGCAACAGAAGTGTGGTGGCTGGATCCAGTGAAACCACCTTGGAATGTATAGCCAGTGCCAGGTATGAGGCGCGTCTCCTGTGAAACTCCCAGTAAATATTACATGACCTGTAACAAGCCGACGACAGAAGGAGACACTGGAGCATGAGGTTCAACATTCTAACAACAGTGGTCTTGTTTGGCCAGATGGGCCAGGAATACGAGGTATGGGTAGATAAGGAAATGGACACATTGACATCTTCCAGAGTCCCCCACTGCAACAGGGCGGTGCTTTCAGTGTAGCTCTGGGTGGTAGTGGGGGGCTCCTCTGAGACACTCTCTAGGGAAGAGGGAGGAGTTGAGGCAGAGGAAACAGTTCATTGCTCTTCTCTGTAGTCAGCCAAGGTGTTCTCTGCCTCCTTAGCGGTCGCTCCAGAATCAAGCTCGGATGATCCCGCCTTCCATGTCGTTGTGTCCCCTCGTAGTATTTATTTTAAACGTTCATTTCCTGAGCAAACGGGATCATTAGCACTTATGGTCCATTGCTGCGGCAATTAGCTATCCTTGCTCAATAGCCCTTGAGCAGAATGCATCGTCGATGCGTGCTGGGAGGGAGTAGAGTTGTATCTGGATTGATTTTTCAGTGTCCACTGTTCAACCCGCCATGTACCCTGGTAGAATTAGCTTCATCAAGCCTGTGCCGCGTGCCTGAGATGATGACCATGGCCACCTCCATGAGTCACAGTCGTCGTCATGAACGCCTTTCGTTCCCACAGGCCTGTGGAGGACCTGAGTGTGACCTGGAAGAGGAATGGAGTGAGAATCACCAGTGGCCTCCACAGCTTTGGAAGACGTCTCACCATCAGCAACCCGACGTCCGCAGACACCGGACTGTATGTCTGCGAGGCGGCGCTGCTGGGGAGCGCTTTTGAACCGGCCAGGGCGAAGGCCTTTCTTTTCATCACAGGTAAAGCCCGAGCCTCTAAGTGGTGTTGTCAGCATCTCACATAGCATCCGGCACTGACTCTTCTGCAGAAACAAAACAGCGTATTTCAGTGGCTTTATTTATCGGCCAGTGAAGGTGAGGTTGAGTTTATCTTCCAAATCCTTCCTAGTCTTTCCCAAGAATATAAGTCCGTCAAATCCAAAGTGCTGATATTCTGAATCCTTCCAGGAAACGTCCTTCTGAATACTCTAGTCACAAAGCTTGGAAACAGAGCGGTGAAACCCTTGTCGTAGAGATCCCTCTCTTATTCTAGCTTTTAGGCCGCTAAGCTTTTCTATAGCTCTCTTACTTGGCTATCGTGATTGGTGTTCAGAAATTATTCTATTATTGCTGTCTGGGCGTGGTGGCTCCCACCTGTAATCCCAGCACTTTGGGAGGCCAAGGTGGGCGGATCACTTGAGGCCAGAAGTTTGAGACCAGCCTGACCAACATGGTGAAACCCCATCTCTACTAAAAATACAAACATTAGCCGGGCATGGTGGCGGGCACCTGTAATCCCGGCTCCTCGGGAGGCTGAGGCAGGAGAATCACTTGAACCCAGGAGGCGGAGGTTGCAGTGAGTCAAGATCGCACCACTGCACCCCAATCTGGGCCACAAGAGCAAAACCCCATCTCAAGAAAAAAAGGAAATTATTATTTTAGAAATTATTCTATTAATTATTAATTTAGCTGTTATTTTTTGACCTAGGAGAAAAGGTAAAACTATTGGATGTTACCTTTTGTTAAACTTAAAAAAATAAATGAAAAGAGAACAGAGATGCTTCCTCAAACTGGGCAACATATTATTCCTGAACCAAGGAGAAAGAGGACATAAAATTAAGTACAATGGAGTTGCCCAGCTCTACATGCTGGAAAATATTAGTGTTTAGGGACTGTGCCTTGTACAGTGGCTAAGAAAATACTAAACTTATTATCAGTTTATGATGAGGTTAAATTGTGAGGCAAGGTGCCTTTATTTCTCTCATTTTTCCAGCAACTGTCATGCGTTTATTCTTCGTAAGTGGCTGTGATGACTATGAGAGCGGCCTGTGTTCCACAGTGGTATCCGCTGTTGATAAGAGGTAGCCTTGGAGGCCGCCTCTAGGAAGGAGAATCTCTTTTTCATCTCTCCTCTTTGGGAATAAGGGGAATTGAGAACAGGAAAACTCAAAGAAGAAGAAAACTCTCAGAGAGCCCCTTCAATACAAAAATTTGCAGTCTGCCACTTTGCAAAATAAGAAAAAAAAAAAAAAGCTGGTATTGTCCCATGAAATTAGCAAGAAAAGGAATACTGCGCAAAAGGTGGTTTGCCTCGATCACGTCCCATTTCTTTAATCATTCGGAAATGGCTCCGTGTCCTGACTATGACTCTTGTAAATACAACGCAGTGCAAACCTCTGAAAGGTCCCTCTGAAAGAAGCGAAAGGCTGTTAAAAGCATCCGAGGAAGCCGGCTTTGAATCACCAGTCACTGTCGATTCCACGTGAGGGGCCTGAGCTGGTATTGCTACCTTCCCCATCCATGCTGCCGCTAGATAAATAACACATCCCATTCTCTGCAAAGACTTTTTTTTTTATCAAGGTTGATCTATAGTTATGTGAGCACAGCACATTATAGATTGAACCAAAATTAAAATTTGTGATGTGTAATTCTCTAGTAGACGGGACTATACTGTGTTCAAACATTTTAAGGGAATTTAAACAAGAGAAGAAATGTATCTCCCGGTAAATGTTTGTTGCGATCATCATTCCTTTTTAAAATATTTAAATCTATCTTAAGAACTTTGGTTTTGCATTTATATCTGATTGTTTTTGTGTTCTCTTGAGTTAGCACCTCTCCGTGGTCTGACTTTTAAAGGTACACGAACACACGTCACTAGTTTATGATGTTGATTTAAATCCCCTTTTATTCATAAGAATTTGCTGTGACAGGTAGGATTTTTGTGATTGGCGCATACTGCAAAAACCCTGAAGAGAGTGTCTCTGTCAATTCCAAGGGATTTGGATGAGATTATAACCCTGCGCCCTGTGGCCATAGCATTACTGGTTTCACAGGACTGTCACTGTGGACCTGTAGGAGCGACCCGTAGGAGCACACAGGCCAAAGACAGAGAAACAAATTGGCTCCTATTACTTGTATTTTATACCGATGACACAAGACAGGCTAGTTGTGCTGTTTGCCCCACCTGCCCGTCTGTGTTGCTTAATTTCTGTGGCTTGAATGGGAGCACAGAGGTCGCCTTCCAGGTACCACCCCGCCATTGGCTGCCCAGTCTTGTGGAGCAGCCCCTCTGTGCCCTCCACCCTCCCCTCCCGCCTCCCCTCTGTGCCTTCCATCCTCCTCTCCTGCTTCCCCTCTAGACCCTCCCCTCCTGCCTCCCCTCTACACCCTCCCCTCCCCTCCCGCTTCCCCTCTAAGCCCTCTGCCCTCCCCTCTACACTTTCTGCTCTCCCCTCCCATTTCCCCCACACCACTCACAACCCGACACACTCCATGCTACAGCTGTTCCCAGAACACAGGGAGGCAACAGCCCAGCAGGGCCTCCATCTTTCCCACTTCTGTATGTGACTTCCAACTGCAGATACCCCCATGTCCTTCCTGGCAACGTCCTTGGCCTGGAGGCAGCTTTGCCCCCTGCAGCAGGCAGAAGTGCTGGGGACCGACACCCCCAGGAACAGCCTCACCCAGAGTCTGAGGGGAGCTGGTGGGTAGATACCTAGGCCCCTTAGCTACCCGTCCTCATGGGGTTGTGTTCTGTACTGGCTCCCAGAGCGTCCCCAGGCATGAGACTGCAGCCACCCGCCCTGGGAGCTGCCGGATAACAGGCTCTTTTCGGCCAACCCCGCACTTTCCCTCACCACCCAAGAAACTGTCAGCATCAAACCTGTCTCAGGGCCTGCTTCTGGGGGAGGCCAACCCAAGCCTGGGTGATGTTCCTGCAGACCCCCGTGTCCCTGCTAATGCCTGTGCCTGGGAAGAATGTGCCTCCGGCCCCAGTGCCGTCTCACCTGGTCGGTGAGGGCTGCGCATCCATGATCCACCTGGTTGGCGAGGGCTGTGTGTCCGCGACCCCCCTGGTGGGCAAGGGCTGCATGTCCACGAATCTCCTCAAGCCTCCCCTCTGCTGTGCAGCCCTTGGAGGCTTCACCCCAGGGAGACTACTGCGCTCTCAGCTGGGCCCTTGCAGCCTTGGGCACGTACCGGGGGCAGCGCTGTGTGATGTAAAACAGAGTGGGCTCTGGGAACGCAGTGGGGGTAGCATAGCATGAAGTAAAACAGTGCGGGCTCTGGAGACAGAACCAGGGTCCAGTTCTCACTGCACCATGCACTGGCTTGAATGAATGTTGGCCTCAGTTTCCACATCCATAAAACGGAGGAGATGGATGTAGATGATACCAGCTTATATCGTGAAGATTAAATGCAAGAATGTCTGTCACAGAAGCTCTGAAATGGTGGCATTAGTTGCTGTGGGCATAACTCTGTTATCCCATTTGTCCCATTGCACTAGCTATTTACCAGTAATCAGTTATGTGACACACATTTTTCATGTTTACTGTCTCTGGAATCAGGATGTGCCTCACCACCTATGAAACCATTTTTTTTTCCCCTTGGGGATAAGTAAGACAAGGATGCCCCTTACCTCTGACTGCGGCACCTTGGTGCCTGTGAGATGCACCTTCCCTCCAACCCACACCTTCCACATTGTCTCCTCATCACACGCGAAGCTGGCTGCTCCCACATGCACCCTGCTCCTGCTGAGCATGCCGGCTCGGAAACTCGGAGGGCGAGTTCTCACTGGGATGGACTCTTACCTGGTGGGGCATCTGCTGCCAGCCCCTTCAAGTTGTTCGTGGAATTCAGTGCGTGTGGCTGGGGGGCTGGCTCCTGACCAGGGGTCCCCTCAGGTTCCAGAGGCCCCTGAATCCCTGGCTCATCTCCAGAGCCAGCAGCTGTGGCTGCGTTCTTGTCACACATGGAAGCTCTCTGCTCTCCCCTGTGCCTCCAGCCGCAGAAAGTCCTCTCCTTTTAGGGACTCACGTGATTACATTGGGCCCACCCAGCGAATCCAAGACCGTTTCCCGATTTTAAGGTGGGTCACCTAATCCCACCTGCACAGTCCATCTTGCCAAGTAACACAGCCTATTCGTAGGTTCCAGGGGTGTGGGCTTGGACACCGCTGGGAGCCATTCTGCCCACCTCAGTGGACTAGTGTGCAGTGCAGGCCGGCCAAGGGCATGCATCTGACATGCTGCTCCCTGAGAGGGGCGACCTGGAAGGAACAGGGAGACAGCGCAGTAGACATCTTTGGCTCTTGCCGTGATCCCTACACAGAAGAATCCTTGCAACTCAGAGGCCAAAACCAGGCAGCATCAGGGATGGGAGAGCAGGACAAATGCATGGTGTTGGGGGACCGTCTCCACTGCGGCTGCCTCCATCGGGCCCCAGTCTGCACTTTGTCACACTGGCATTTTGGAGAGTGGGGTCATTTGACAGAGGCCCTTGGTTTGGGGGCAGTCTGGGAGGTCTTCCCACCTCCTGTCCTGAGACTGGGGAGCTAGAATCTTGTGCTGCCCCTGGAGGCAGCTGCCACGGGCTCTGGGCCACATGGAAGGCAGAAAGCCTGTACTGCCCTTTTCCTAACAGCGTGACTTCGTATAGGGCGTGAGAACCTTTCGCTGATGTCTTCGTATTGTTTCAAAAGAGGGAGAAGTGTTAGTTTCCATCCCCGGTTTTGTTGACTACAGCCAGGATCCATTTTCAGAAGTCCAGGGTGGACCCGTGTTGGCAGAGTACCCTTTCTAGGCAGAGTTGCTGCTGATTGACTAAGACATGCCCTCGCCCTCCTGCCCTCTGAAGAGTAAGTGGTTGAGAGTCTATGCACAGGATGACTCATTTACAGTGGGTTTTCCCCAGTGTTTAGCTCACAGGCTTTTCACGGTCCGTAGGCTTGGTGTTTCTTCCACTTCTTTCCCTTAGAGCAGACTGTGTGTAAAAATGAAGCTGGAAATGGGGAGAAACTCCATCTGAGCAGCCACTGGGTTAGAATACTAGGGAAGGTTGACAGGGAGAGAACTCGTACCCTCACACAGTGAGGAAGTACTGAGGGAAGCTTAGAGGCCATGCAGGGCATGGGCTGCTCTGCACCTGTTCCCCAGGCACAGCTACCTGGAAGGCTTTCCAGAAGAAGCTAAGAGCATCCTCAGTGAACAGCCAGATGTTTTCCACCTGTGCCTAGCACTGAGCTGCTAAAACTGCCCAGGACATTGGCCCCTGCAGGCAGTGGCAGGCTGCCCCCCAGACCCTTACCCAGGCCACAGTACTATGGAGAGTGTGGAGTGGGGTGAGTTTTACCATGAGGTATGCCAAGCACAGGTGGTCACTGACGGGTGGAGAGAGGTCACCAGTTGGAGAGGAGCAGCCCCGTCTGGGCATGGAGGTCCCCAGAGCCACGCACTTGCTCAGCCAAGCCAACTTCGGGTCACTCTGTGAAGTGCCCTTCTCCCTGACCCCAGCGAGGTCCCTTCCTGGCACTCGAGGGAAGCCTCGGGGAAGTGGACCATGCGACAGCGGTAATCAGTACCTCAGGGAAGGCACCCTGGGCCCGTAGGTGCTGACCATTCATATATATGGATTTTGTATCATCAAAGCACAGGTCATCTTGGGTGAATCTCAGGGGAAGCATGATGGGTGAAAAAAACAGTTCCAAAGGTTACACTGGATGACCTCCTTTCTGTAACATTCTTGAAATAACAAACCTACAGAAACAGAGAATGGATTAGTGGTTGTGAGGGATGGGAGCTTGAGGTGCTCGTGGTCATGGAAGGCAACATCCTTGTGCTGATGGACACCTAGACCTATAATAATGGTAATAACATTGCATAGGACATGCATTTGCCCTCTTTTCACACGCACACTTGAGCACAGGAAACACTGGCAAGAGCTGGATAAACTAGGTTGATTGTATCAGTAGCAGCGTCCTGGTCATGTTACACTATCATTTTGCAAGATGTTACCACTGCCGGAAGGGAAGTGAAGGGACCATGAGCTCTTTCAGTGTTATAGTGTTACTTCTCACAACCACACGGGACTCCACGGTTTTCTAAAAAGAAAGTGCTCAACTAAGAAAAGGAAAACTATAATTAATCATAAGCAAATGTTGATGTTGAACATTATGTTTTTTCCTTTTTCCCTAGCATGCTTTTAGTCAGATCATGACGGTAGATATTGACTTAGCTTCCCTGATGAATACAGGTCAGGACCTGCACACAAGGGCTCTGACAGCAGGCAGCTCCTGTATAGTTAGAATATAAATAATGCTGCCTTTATGATTATTGATTGAGGAACTGTGATCAAATGGGGAATGTATGAGTTGGGCAATGAAGACGAGCTTGAAAAAGGTAGACATTAAATGTCTGCAATATTTCTTCAGGCTTGGTCTACACACATAAAAACCTAAGTAGAGGAATCCACTTCCTTCTAATGAATTTGTAGCCATCTCCTCAGCCAGGGTGGTTAATTCAGGCAGATTCTTTCTGCTTGAGTGGTCCAGGTAATCGCAGAAGTGAAACCTCACTTTGCCTCCATCCAGAAACCTTCAGCCGCTTCCCCCTTAATCGTTTCTTTGAAATGCTTAGTTTTCATTTCTCTTTTTCATCTGTTAGGTTCCACCTTGTTTTAAAGATACAGTCAATATAGGAGGCATGCCAAGCTATATTATCCACATTCAACACAATTATAATGAAAATAAACCAACTCTGGAAGACAGTTCCCAGAAATTAATTATCACACAGAAAGTGAACACAACAGCCTTTTGTGATCATGATAATGAAATCACCACCACCTTAATACTTGACAGACTTGGCCATGCCTCTGTTGAATTTCTGCTGAATAAACTGGAAAAATATTGCAATTGGCTCTCCAAGGAAATTCATTGTTTCATACAACCACTATTTTTTTTCTGCAGAACAGGCAAGTGGGGTATCTAGAGATTGCAAGTACCTAGGAGTTTCTTTTGCTGGTAAAGATAGATTAGCACTCCCCTCTATTTTTTCTTTTAGTTATTATTTTGTATTCCATTGAAGTATTAAATCTCTATTTTGGAGAAGAACTGCTAAGAATTTTAAAAATATGTTAATAGGCTGTTCCCCGATACAGGCTGCACACCTTCCTCAGGCACTTGACAAGCTTCATGAGCTCGTGTTTAGTTTAGATACTGAAGCAAACTAGCCCGTAAAATACGGTGCTGTAAATATAAACCTTTATGAACCTCTTGGGATCATCCTTCTAAAATGTGAATTAAGATATTCCATGATTCAAGCCCATAAACTGAAAAGTAGCCATCGCCCTGCGTAGTAATTTGCCTTCTGAAACCCCAGACTGTAAATTGCGTTTGGCGTGTGCTCACTGAATTTTGAGTTTGTACGCATGATGCTAACTAAGGATGAAGTTTTCAAGAAGAGTTTTTAAGAGGAGCCTAAACTATTTTAGGTTGTATGGTCTCTTGACATATCCTTCTTTGGCTTAGGGACTTTTTTTTATTTTCTTGTTTGAAGAGCCACCATATTTTACTGCTGAGCCTGAGAGTCGGATTTCAGCTGAAGTAGAAGAAACCGTGGACATCAGATGCCAAGCCATGGGTGAGTGCGGAGTGGCTGCTGGACAAGGAGCCATGACTGGGAGGAAGGCAAACAACCTTTTTCCACAGCAGAATTGCTGTCATTCTAGGGAGACACTGAGTGTGACGGCGAAGGCAGACTTCAGAGGGTAGATCGGTGTTGGGGCAGTGACCGCGGGTAAGGCATTGGACTTTGCCGAGCTTTTGCTTCCTCCCCTGCAAAACAGAAATGATAATATTTACCCAGCGGAGCAAAAAGGAAGCCTCCATCCACCCCAGACAGAGAGGGGACTCCGTCATATCCTGTGCACTCCCCTTCCAAGGCCCTGACTCCACAAGAGTGTGACCCCCCCGAGACTCGGGGCAGAAAATTCTTTCTCATCCATGGGGTGACTGGGACTGGTGACCATATCCACTCTGTAGAAGGAGAGATGGGTGTCCATGTATTTGTAGTAGATATACGGGGTACAAGGCAATTTCGTTCCGTTGATGTATTGCACAGTGGTGAAGCCAGAGCTAGGAGTGCGTCCATTACTGGAGTGATGTCCCTTGTACCCGTTAAGTAATTTCCCATTGCCCACCCCACGCCCTTTTGAGTCCCCATCGTCTGTCCTTCCACACGCTATGTCCATGTGCACATGTGACTTAGTGCCCACTTATTAGTGAGAACAGGCAGTCTTTATCTTTCTGTGTCTGAGTTCTCTCACGTAACTCAATGACCTCCAGTTCCATCCAGGTTGCTGCAAAAGACACCATTTTATTCTTTTTTGTGGCCATATAGTATTTGAATAGAAAATGTTGCTTTTTTTTTTTTTTTGCCTTTTCAGCTCTGGGTCCACTTTTCCTTTGCTGTTCAGGTCATTCCAGCCTTCATCCCCATGCCTCAATTACGAGCCGCCCACTGTCACCATCTCATGTCAGGCAGCGCAGGCTGTTACACAAAACCTTCTAGAAGAGACAGGCTTGTCAAGGCAGTTTCGTTAACAAAATCTGTGTTCGTATTCTGGCAACTATCAAGAAATGAAGAGGATCTCTTCTCTTTTGTTTGTACCCATCCGTCCTAAGGATGGAATTTTCTCCTACCCCCTAAGAGCTTGGAGGGTAAGAAGGACTACCAGTTTTGTAAATCTTCAAAACAGCTCCTAGGAGAAAGACGATTATCTCACGGTACCACAGGAAAACCAAGCCCTAGAAAGCATGGTTAAGTAACGTGCCCAAGGCACTGGGCCACGAGCTGAAATGGGATCGTTCTCTTATGAAGTCATTGCCCAGCGTGTGGCCTGTGGGAGTTGCTCATTAAATGCTGGGTACATAACTTACCTAGGGCCACATGGTAATGGAAGCAGGACCCAAACGCAAATCTGTCAGCCACTAGAGCAGCCACCTGGCTCTTGCCAGAACACTGGCTTCGCCCAGGACCTGAAGCCCCGGACTTAGAACAAATGTCATGTGTCCCTACCGGCAACTATGTGGATGCCATTTCTTATTCCTGAAATTGGTATATTATCCTTCCAGTGCTGTGTCACCCTTCCAGTGCTGGTGGTGGAGGGAAAGATCAGCCTCTGCCCAGAGACCCCCTCCCAACCCGCTGTGCTTTGTAACCACTGCTCCCCATCCAGGACTTGGCTGAATAGGAGTTCTGGTCCTCAGCTCCTGACCAGCTCACAGCGGCTGCTGTCCACGGCTCTGTTCTCTCTCTGTTCTTCTCTCTTCCACCTCTACTGATGCAGCAAATGGGAGGGGGGGAAGTGACAGAAGAGTAAGATGAATTTTACATGGAATTGTCTTTCTTACGGTGGTTGCATTGTTCTTTGTTGTGTAAGTGCCAACTTCTGAAGGCCAACAACTCTGTGAATGTGAAGCTATAAAATATTTAGAGAGCTTGTATTTCAGAAATAAGAGTATACAATACTGCGGGGGATAAGATTTCTGTTATGACATTAAATTGCCCCAAAATAGAAATACTCCCAGTTCCCTATGTGCTAACAATTATTTTTCAACAAATGACAATCTTAAACTCCCTTTGACAAGAGAAGGCTTTTTTTTTTTTTCATGACTTCTGCAGGGTAAAGTGCTTGTTAAGTGTAGACTTAGAAATATGGAGAGAACAGATCTTCTGACATTGCACTGCCATCATATAATTTACTGCTTTCTTTTAATTTTGACAGTAAAACTATAGCAGCATGCGAAGTGGTTATTCCTTATGAAAGCGACATCGTGTAACTGCTATTATGAGATATTACATGAAATGGTTATGCTTTTACCTTGAAATGGATTTTTAAAAATTTCCTGACTTAATGAAAAGTGACAGGAAACATAATTAAGGCAAAGAAGAGAATCTGAGAAGACATTATCTTGAGATATTCCATGGCATTAACTTTATTTATTAAAGTCGACATCTCACACCTAGCCACGTGCCATCTTAAATCAAGGGGTTTTGATGTGCTTTGCACTGAAGCATGTCAAGATAGGTTTTTTATTTAAATCCACTTTCTATTTAGGGAAACTGAGGTACAGAACCATCTGAGATCTAGAGCTAAGTCTCTAGATATGCCTCATGGAGCAAGTCAGCTTTTCCTGTATCCACAATGGAATACCTCTTGTGCCTCCTCAACCCTTAACAAGGTTACTTAACCTAATAAATTGCTCCTCTGAGATAGTAGAACTCCATGAAGGCCCGTGGTATCCAACCCTTTTGATAGGGGTTGTTTAAAAGATGGCACTTATTTTCCTTGTTAGCTGTTGGGATGAATAGTGATACTGCCTTTGAGCACTCACCAGGTGCCAGGCAGAAGAGTTTTATAAATACATATGTAAATGTATACACACACACATGTATATGCGCCAACTCACACAGACACACATAGAAACACATGTATACACGTATATACAGGTGCACACATATATACACAGATGTACACACATATACACACATGCACATGTATACACATACATATATACATAAACACATGCACATATATACACACGTAAACACATGTACACAATGCACATATATACACATGCACAAACTCACATGCACATACATATACATACACACGCATAGACACACAGACACATCCAATCTTCAATCTTCTGAAGTCATGATGATCATTCAGTTACCTGCATGTGAGGAAACAGAGACAAAGAAAGGGACAGGTAATGTACTCTGCCCAAGGTGACACTGTCCGCGAGGCACAGACCTGGGATGTGGCCTGTGTCCTCTCCTCTGCCCCTATGACCCTGTGCCCGAGCCCTCCCACAGTGGCTGAGTAGGGCACTGCAGAACAGAGAGGGCTTCATCTCCATCTGAACCTTAAGGTCAGTCTCAGCTGGTATCTCCTTCTTTCCAAACAAGAGCACGAGCCTGCGTGGGTTCAGAGTGGAGCCTGGAAGGCACCACAGCCGGGGTTGCCGGAATTCGTGCCAGCTATTCCTCTCAATGCCCCTCTGTGTCAATTGCTTCATGTACAACGAGAAAAATAGCTCCTTACAGGGTGGTTGAAAGCATGAATAGACAAGAAAATGCCTATTAAAATATTGCCATTCTAGCCTTTGCAACAGATGTGCCTCAGTCCTCACGTCAGGAATTATTTTTTAAATCCTATTTATTCTCATTCCTATGCAGGGGTCCCCCTTCCCACCCTCCAGTGGTACAAGGATGCCATCTCCATCAGCAGGCTCCAGAATCCTCGATACAAAGTGCTCGCCAGCGGAGGCCTGCGCATCCAGAAGCTGCGTCCAGAGGACTCCGGAATCTTCCAGTGCTTCGCCAGCAATGAAGGAGGGGAGATCCAGACCCACACCTACCTGGATGTAACCAGTGAGTTCCCCCAGGCCCACAGTTACCTGACCTGGACATATCCAGTGAGTACACCCAGACCCATGGCTACCCGGATGTAACCAGTGGGTACACCCAGGCCCACGGCTACCTGGGTATATCCAGGGGGTACGCCCAGGCCCACGGCTACATATCCAGTGAGTACACCCAGACCCATGGCTACCCGGATGTAACCAGTGGGTACACCCAGGCCCACGGCTACCTGGGTATATCCAGGGGGTACGCCCGGGCCCACAGCTACCCGGATTTAACCAGTAGGTACACCCAGGCCCACGGCTACCTGGGTATATCCAGGGGGTACGGCCAGGCCTACGGCTACCTGGGTATATCCAGGGGGTACGCCCAGGCCCACAGCTACCCGGATTTAACCAGTGGGTACAGCCAGGCCCACGGCTACCTGGGTATATCCAGGGGGTACGCCCAGGCCCACGGCTACCTAGGGTATATCCAGGGGGTACGGCCAGGCCCACGGCTACTTGGGTATATCCAGGGGGTACGGCCAGGCCCACGGCTACCTGGGTATATCCATGGGTACGCCCAGGCCCACGGCTACCCGTATTTAACCAGTGGGTACACCCAGGCCCACGGCTACCTGGGTATATCCAGGGGGTACGCCCCGGCCCACGGCTACCTGGGTATATCCAGGGGGTATGCCCAGGCCCACGGCTACCTCACCTATCGGCAAAGCCAGACCTGCTGGACTGGGCCTTCAAGGCAGAACTTCCCAAACTTTGCCCCGTATAACACACACAGAAAGTGGTAGTATCTGTTCAGCCCCCTGAGGTAAACGGAGAGGGTGATGTGGCCAGAAGTGGCCAGACCAGGAGAGCTAGCTGTCAAGCACACCTGAAGCCTTTGTGGGTCCTGTGGGGAAACTGCGTAGGCCCATTTGCTGCACAGATGCCCTGTCACTCCCCGCCCCTAGTGCCCTCCTCTTCTCCGGGCAGCCTTGCCTCTTCCTGCACTAAGCCCTCCTCTTTCTTGAGGAGAAGTAGAAAAAAAATTCCCCTTATTTTCTGGACAGAATTGGAAGGACTATTGAGTGAATAGCTCACTCCTCATCTTTTTCTTTTTATCTTTTTTCTATTTTTTTTTTTTACATTCATTCTCTATTTTACTTTCCTTGAACGATTATAGTTCTTTCATGAGTTTCTTTTATTATCCCATTAACAGAAATACCCTGGCACTCTGTCTTTGAAAAATAAACTCAAGGTAAAGGTTTTCATTGTTTCTGTGGGTTTTCTTTTTAATCTCCCATGGTTGTATAATATTGTTCTTCTAAAATGAAGTAGAATCTAGTGATTACGAAACTATATACCTTTCACGTTTGCCCTTTTGGGAGCAAAATGCTGATATCCTCAGGGGTGAGAGCTGTTGGAGAGAGCAAATCAATGTCACTGTGTGCACAGCTGAGGGCTCTTCCCACCCAGAGCCTGCGAAGAGACTGACTAGGTGTGTAGCAAGCTGTGCATGTGTTTTGGTGAACTAGGGGGTCCCTTCCTTGAATCTTGCCCTCGGGTCAAATTTGTCTTTCACTTTGGAGCTTAGGAAACCACTGTTGCTTCAAGCAGTAGAAATAATATTGGATGCTCAAGTCAGAAGATGAGTCTTGATCGAGTAGAATTATTTGAAGCCTATCTTGCAATCGTGAACCAGGACGTTCCAGAGCAGGGATCGACAAGATTTTTCTGCGAAGGGCCTAACGGTAGATATTTTTGGCTTTGAAAGATGTGGCCTACTCAGCATTGCTGTAGTCACCTCAAAGCAGCCACAATTCTCAGCACATGCGAGTGGCTGTGTTCCAATAAAACTTTATTTACAAACACGGGGTGCAGACTGAATTTGGCCCCCAGGTTGTCATTTGCCAATCTCCATTCCGGTGGGAGACTTAGGAATGAGAATAAAGGATAGCCCAGAGAACATTACTGGGTTTCTCTCAGCCTCAGTTTTCTCGTCCGTTACAATGGAGCTCAGCAAGCCCAGATGATAGGATTCCCACGAGGGTCAGATTGGAAATGGAAAGGAAAGTGCTGCCTAAGCTGTTACCATGGCAGTCAGTGAGTGAACAAACAAATAAATGATTGCAATCATGTTATCTGCTTTGTAGTAAGAGGTTTTGTGCAAAATGAATTTTTTAATTACAATACCCTTAATGAAAGGAAAATGTGCTTTAAAAAATCGATATTGATTTGCTCATTTAGCAAGCGGCTATTGAGCATCTGTGTTGGGCACTCTGGATGAGGCTTTGGGGACACAGCTGTGAGGAAGGCAGGCGAGGTTCCTGTGCTTCCAGGACAGAGGGTCTGCGGGGAGGAGAAAGGCAGTGAAGGACGAGATGACTCCAGCCAGCCAGGGGTGCTGCAGAAAAGGGGAGTGGGTGCGGTGGCAGAGTGAGCCGGGAGTCTCCCCCAGACGGTGTGTGAGGGGGCTTCTCTAGGAGAGATTTAGAAGGAGCAGAAGTGTGAACTCTCGGGGACATGCACATTGCACAGGCTGGAGGGGACAGCAAGTGCCTTGGAAGAACAAGCTCGGCATGTAGTGCAGGTGAACGGAGACGGATAGGATGGGGCTCAGTGACAAGCAGGGTGGCCATGATGGGCCAGAGGGCAGAGGGATAGGCAGGGACAGGGACCGAGAACAGGAGGAGCCTCGGGAGCTGTGAGCAAGCAGGGAAGGGACATGAAGGCCTTTGTAGTTTTCAAAGGGCAGCCCAAGGCTGGCTACCTCAGGGACCCTGACAGTCAGAAGTGTTGAGACCTGTTAGAGGACCCTGCAGCCTCTGGCAAGACCCTGGACTCAGGTGGTTGTATGCGAGGTGGAGAGACAGGGTTGGCTTCAGGAAGGGTCCTGGCAATGAAGTTTCTGGGACTTGCCGTGGTCCATGGGATTCTCAGCAGGTGCAGGAAGAGGCAGCGGCTGTGCCCTGGGTTCCGTGAGGTCTACTCGCTTCTTTCCTTGAGGGGTATCAGCCCAGGGACCCTCACAGAAGACTTGAGAGATGCAGATCACTGTCGTACGAGGGGTTCCGGTTAATTGTTATTGGGTAGCACAGAGTCAGGTGAGCCCTCGCTGAAGCCATCAGGAACTCCTCCTGTCTTTCCTCGGTCTGAGTCGGGACTGCTGGAGGCCCTGACCATCCCCCACGAACAAGAAGAAACCCCGCGCTTGGGGCTCATGACACCTCCCAGAAATGTATCTTTATGGAGGTCTTTGAAACCTGGTTATTTTAGCTCTCGGGACAGATCCTAGAAAGGATCCTAGAAAGTGTCGTCTTGTGGATGACATTTTATATTCAATAATTAGTTTTTTTGTTTTTGTTTTCGAGATAAGGTCTCACTCTGTCACCCAGGCTGTAGTACAGTGGCACAATCATAGCTCACTGCAGCCTTGACCTCCTGGGCTCAAGCAATCCTCCTGCCTCCACCTTCCAAGTACGTGGGACTACAGGCGCGCACCACCATACCTGGCTAAGTTTTCATTTTTGGTAGAGACAGGGATCTCACTGTGTTGCCCAGGCTGGTCTCAAACTCCTGAGCTCAAGCAATCCTCTTGCCTCAGCCTCCTAAATTACTGGAAATATAGGTGTGGGTTACCTTTCATGTAAAGAACAAAAGCAATCTTTTGGCTGATCTAAATAAACGCCTCTCCTCTCTTTAACATTCATCTGAAACTGTTCTTCCTGGGCCCTTGCACCTTCCCACTTGTGTGTCTATTACATCGTGATGCTGTATTTTCTCTCCAGGGTGTAAACCAAGATAGGTAACTCCTGGGAGACGAACAGTGGAGGGCTGCTGTCCCTCCTGAACAGCATTCCTTTCGTATTACTACAGTTATCTCTGTGACTGGTTCTCTGAAGCCCGTGCAGGATCCTCCGCCAGGCTGGTGTGAGCATCTCAGGGGAACGAGGCCCTCATCATTTCATTAACTCTTCTTCTCAGATATCGCTCCAGTGTTCACCCAGCGGCCAGCAGACACCACGGTTACCGACGGGATGACAGCCATTCTAAGGTGTGAGGTGTCCGGGGCTCCCAAACCCGCCATCACCTGGAAAAGAGGTGGGTAGCATCCACCACCCACAACTGCATGGCCCATGTAGAACATAACCTATCAGGCCAGGGCTTGCTTCTTACTCACTCTCTTGTTTATTCATTTATGCGTTCACTCGATGAAGATTCAATAACCTCTTACAGCAGCAGTCCCCAACCTTTTTGGTTCCAGGGACCAGTTTCTTGGAAGAGAATTTCTCCATGGTCTCTGGTGGTCTCAGGATGAAACTGTTCCATCTCAGATCATTAGATTCTTCTAGGGAGTGTGCACCCTAGAGCCGTGGCATGTACAGTTCACTGGAGGGTGTGCGCTCCTGTGAGAATCTAATGGCGCTGCCGAACTGACAGGAGGAGGAGCTCAGGCAGTCGTGCTCGGTGGCCACCGCTCACCTCCTGCTGCGCAGCCCGGTTCCAAACAGGTCTGCGGCCCAGGGCTTGGGGACCCCTGATTTACAGAATGCCCACCAGGTGCAAGATACCATGGGCACAAGGATAAATAGGACAGACAAGATCCCTGCCTTCTAGAAAGGGAAACACACATTAGAAAGAGAGAAGAATTGTGCACATGTCGCTCTTCACTACCCGTGCCCTTCAGAGAGTGCCTCAGGCCTCCTCGGGCCTTCCTGTATCAAGCACTGGATGTGAAATCACTCTGCTAGCACTCACTTCTCCCACTGTGAAGTGGAACTCTTCCTTATGACGTTCAGAATTAAGGATCACTGTTTTGTTGAAGAAAGATGCTTCCAGGGCCACATCGTTCCATGCCCTCCCCCGTCAACCTGGGACGCTGCAGCCCACTGTGGGTTCAGTTTCTGGGAAGGCTGCCTTTGCAGTTCCCATAGCCCCTTCTACGAGGGCCACTGAAAGAACAGCACACAGAGTCCATCCTGAACAAGTCTGTGCTGAGTCTTGTTGATTCACATGGATGAGCTCCTCATACTTGCTGGCCTGTATCGGGCTGACGTGCCAAAAGCCTTATCTTTCTCTTCCTGCTGGAAAACCGCATGGCAGCTTCTCGAGTCTCAGAGGCACAATCCCGGCACTCAGACACGGCTGCTAAAGATCTGGGACACTACAGATCAATAACAGGGCTGGGCTCTTACTGTCTCTTGTTTTCCTGCCTAATTTTGAACATCATAGCTTTATATAAAAATGTTTCAAATACATGCAGATATAAAGAAAACTAAAAACCGGTCACCCAAAAATAGCAATCGCATTCATGGATCGTAGTTTGTTTAACCAAATCTCTCAATATTGAGCAAGTAGGATGTTCTTGGTTTTTGTTATTCTAAACAGTGCTAGCAGATACCGCTTCAGTTATTTCTTTGCATACAATTTTCACTTTATTCTGATTATTTCCTTAAGTTATTTCTTTGTTGTATTAGTCCGCTGTCACACTGATATAAAGACATACCTGAGACTGGGCAATTTACAAAGAAAAGAGGTTGAATTGAGTCACAGTTCTGCATAGCTGGGGAGGCCTCAGGAAATCATAGTGGAAGGTGAAGAGGGAGTAGGCTCATCTCACGTGGCTGCAGGACAGAGAAGGAGCAAAGGGGGAAGTGCCAAACACCTTTAAGCCGTCAGATCTCATGAGAACTCCCTTGCTATCAGGAGAACATCGTGGGGGAACCACCCTCAGGATCCAGTCACCTCCCACCAGATTCCTTCCCCGACGTGTGGGGATTACAATTCAAGATGGGACCTGGCTGGGGACACAGAGCCGAGCCATGTTACTTGTTTATGGCTCTAACCACTATCTTCCTTTCCTTCCAGTGTTATGACTGTAACATGCCTCTTTTCTCTACTGTTCTTCAGAAAACCACATTCTGGCCAGTGGCTCTGTCCGGATTCCTAGGTTCATGCTTCTTGAATCGGGGGGTCTACAGATCGCACCCGTCTTCATCCAGGATGCCGGCAACTACACCTGCTATGCGGCCAACACGGAGGGCTCCCTGAACGCATCGGCCACGCTCACCGTGTGGAGTAAGGAGCAGCCCTCACACGTCAGCCTTTTATTAGCCACGGTTTAATCATCGTGTCGTCATGTGCTTCAGGGATGTCAACATGCCCTTGGGCTTGCTAATTTAATCAAAAGAGAATGATTATTTTTACAACTAGTTTATAGAAATCTGTTGAGAAATGAAATTTTCAGCGTCTAAAAGAATAATTAGAAAATGTATTCAGATGTAATGGGGACATTGCAGGAGAGATAAAAGATTGACTTCTTAAAGTCAGTGGAGATACTACACAAAACTAGCTCAAATCACAAAATTGATGTGTTGGTTAATTTTGTAAGCAATTTATAAGACAATTAAGAATTAAAATCCTAAAGAAGGAATATTTTGCCATACAATTATTACGAAAAACTAAAACACTTCTAATATATTAACTATCAGTGTTTCTTGTATATTAGGAGTGAACTGAAAGGAAAATCTTCATTGTTTCTCCAGCTTTTGCCCTTTTTTTAATCAACAAGACATGTTTTGGAAATGCAGAGTAGTTTTCTGGAGCTTAAACATTGGACCAAATGGCCCCCCATTGCCACTTTTTAGCTTCAGTTGCCAATATACTTTCTCCTCTCTGTCTCGTCTCAATCTGTACTACTAAAAGCTCATTATTTAAAAAGCAAAAGAGCACTCACTCACAGATTTTTACAAAGCTATCTGCATGAAGAGCGAAAGTTTTAACTTGCTTGAGGGAGTAATTTGTTAAAATGCCATTCTTCCAGAAAAAGTAAATCACTGTGCTTTATTTCATATTTGTCTAGCATTTTCTATCATATAGTTGGTGTCCACTTTGATAAACAACTCTCTCTAATTTGTTAAGTGTTCTAAAATGATCATGAGTTTCAAGGAAACTAATCCAAGTTCCCACTATGCTGTCAAGTACTAAAAAGCAGCTTTTGTTCCATTTGGTGGATGACTCTCTCAATCACTTCGTTCATTATATATCCCTAAATAGTAACCATACATTTAACCCATTTATGCCTGAGGTTGCAGTTTTGTGAACTTTTGCAATCAGAACTGAAGCAATGGCCTTGAGCAGTAGGATATTAAAAAGCTTACGAAAAAGTGGCATCTGAATCTCCGTAGATCATTCACCAGAAAATTTTGTGGATCGCTGAGATTCAACATTATAATGACACTAGCCTGACTGGGATAACACTTTGTTGGCTTTACAGAACATTTTCACACACTCTGCCCACTTTAATCTGTACAACTATTAGTGACGTTAGCATTCCCTTCCATAGCTAGGAAAACTAAGATGCAGAGATGTATTTCTGGACTCATCATTAGCAGAGGTCAGGCTTGGCCTCCAACTTAGCCTCCTGACTCCCAGGTTCTAGGCTCTGTTCCTGGAAGCAGAGCAGGTCCCCCTTAGAGGTATGGGTGCCACAGTGACCCATCGCACGGGCAAGCTGCAGGTCCCCACCCCGTACTGGCTTGTGGGAGGTGGGCAAGTCACTGCATCTCTGAGCGTCCGTCTTCTTTCCTGAAAGCTGAGAGCAGTAATATGACAGCCCTCACAAGAGCGTCTGGAGGAATAAATACAACAACTTAAACAAAAGCATTTGGCAGACTCACAACGTGCCACACAGACGCTAGAAATGACTAGAGTGATGGTCATCTAGGAAGAGAATCTAAGTTTTATTTTAGCGCCTAGAACCTCATCCACACCTGCATGGGATGGTCGGTGTTCATTTACTTCCATGGTGTTTGAGGTTAAAGGTGATTTGGGGGTGGGGGGTGGGTTGACAGACTTTGCTGCAGTGGTTGACTTTTTTGCTTGTTGTTAACTCCCCTAGCATTTCTGAGAAAGATCCATTTACCCTCACTCTGCCAAGATGAGAGAAAACTTGGAGGTTGTGATGTCAGATGACCAGGGCATTATCCCCGCGAGGGCAGAAACTCGCACACTTGTCATGTCGTCTGACTCGGGACTTGTGTTTTTTCAGATCGGACATCTATCATCCACCCTCCTGAGGACCACGTGGTGATTAAGGGGACCACGGCTACGCTGCACTGTGGAGCCACGCACGACCCCCGGGTTTCCCTCCGGTCAGCACAATCAGTTACAATGCTTTGGGGCTTGTTGATATTCTGTGAGTTTCTGAAGTGAAGTCGAAATGAGGAAGAAGAATTGGGGGAACACTGATTTCAGCGGCAGGTCCCTGATTATGGCATCTTCTGGTTGTGGGCGCCATCATTAATCACACAAATCCCATTTTCCACTCCAGCCTTATGTATTATTTACAGTGAGCTATGTTCCACTTCATGACTTTAATGCTGCTTTTCATGATTTCTTCCTACCAAGGTTAATACACTGTCTGTAAAACGTACTTGTCAGAGGCTGATACTCAGTGAGAGAAAAATCCAGAGGGATCGACTAGGATTCAGCAGTGTTTACATGGGGGCTGTGCCACTCCCTGCCGGGGGAGTTATTTACTCTCCGGATAATTTCATCGTGAAATGGCGGGGAGGGAGGCCTGTGCATGGGACAAAGGCAGCCACAGCCCCCAGCGCACTCATGGGAAGGTACATGCCAAGAAGGAGACCAGATGTGAGGGTTCCCTTTTTTTTTTTTTTTTTTTTGAGACAGACCCTCACTCTGTCGCCCAGGCTGGAGTGCAGTGGCACGACCTCAGCTCACTGCGAGCTCCGACTCCCGGGCTCACACCATTCTCCTGCCTCAGCCTCCTGAGTAGCTGGGACTGCAGGCACCCGTCACCACGCCTGGCTAATTTTTTGTATTTTTAGTAGAGATGGGGTTTCACCGTGTTAGCCAGGATGGTCTCGATCTCCTGACCTCGTGATCCGCCCGCCTCAGCCTCCCAAAGTGCTGGGATTACAGGCGTGAGCCACCGCGCCCGGCCAAGGGTTCTCTAAAGGAATGCTGATATCCCATCTTTATTTGAATTCAGGTCAGGAAAGTAACTGTGCAAAATATGAGACTCCAGGTGAAGTTGTGGCAGCAGACAGGTGGGCGCCAATGGGGAGCTGTTCCCTGAAGAGCAGCCACCTTCGGAATAGTTTTAAATGTTTGGAATCAGCCTTGAAAGTAAAAAAAGAAAAATCCAGTCATCAGAGTATTTCCACTCCAGCCTTACCCCAGAAGGGGCACAGTGCGTGAGTCGAATGGGCAGACTCAAGACGCCCTCCTACTTTCTGGGGCCCCTCACCCAGAGCAGAGGGGACGGCTGTGGGTGCACGGTCAGCAGCAGGACGCGGAGACTCCGCGGCTGTTCTCTCGCGCTTCTAGCGGGCCTTTGGCCAATTGTAAATTTCCATGTCTCCACCCAACTCCCTGGGGTTTCCCAGGGCTCAGAATCCAAATTTGGTTTAGGTACCAGGGTGCCGAATGTAAAACAAAACAAACAAACAAAAACTAGCAAGTGAAAGATGACCTAGAACACCCCCGCCCCCCCACCCTGTGGCTGCCCTGGAGACGGTCGTCAGGCCTGGGAAAGAGCTCCTTCGTAAATGATTTGGAGTATGACTTCGAGGAAGTCTGCTTTCTGCTACTCTGACAGCTCAAAAAGAACCCCCTCGGATCTCTGTGGTTTCCTCGTAGCTTGTTATATGTGATTAAATTGGAGGCCCCTTCCTGAGATGGAACTGAGTTACTCGCTCTCAGGGCGCCCGTCATCCCAGGGTTGCTCTGCCCTGAGGAGCGCCAGGCCCTAAGTGGCCATTCCAGCCGGATGCGGTGCCCCGGGATGAGCAATCTGTCCATCTCCCTCTTGTGGAATCGGCCCTGTTCTATCTCAGGGTAATTGCTGATAAGAGTAGTTTGTAAATGTCGGTGCTTATGAATATGAAGGCTTTAAAGAACTGGGCACATTTTGAAAATCCGATCACATTATTGTGGAAAAGAAAAACAGCACTTTCATTCCATATAGCAATGAGTGCTGCCCCTGCCCGTGGTCATCTAAAGACTGGGCAGCCTCTCAGTTAATTCTGTATTTGAAAAGAAAAATGTGCTCAAATTGCTACAGATAGATTAAATGAGAAAGAAATGCAATTTTAAGGACCATCTGCCAGAATGGTCAAATTTTAAGAAAATATGTTTTTGAAGTGTGTTTTTTTTTTTTTTTTTTTCCCATGAGTCGAGCAATTCCACTCTGCAGTTTTTTTTAAATAGTCGTTGCCTCCTGTCCAGACAATACTCTTGTCCTCCAGGAGCATTACCGGGGCAGGAATGTTGAGTGCCGTTTTCATAGGTGACAGGTATGCCCATGGTTCTACAGACTTCTCATCTCTAGAACACAAGATCAGTCAGGCAGGGGCAGTCATTTTCATTGCTCTGTTTTTAACCTCAGCATCTGTTTGTGTATTATGACCAAGATATCTGGTTGCTTTTCTTTTTTATTATTATATTTTGGTTTAATTCACATGCCATAAAATTCACTGTTTTTTTTTTTTTTTTTTTGAGACAGAGTCTTGCTCTGTCACCCAGGCTGGAGTGCAGTGGCTGGATCTCAGCTCACTGCAAGCTCCTCCTCTCGGGTTCACGCTATTCTCCTGCCTCAGTCTCCCGAGTAGCTGGGACTACAGGCACCCACCACCTCGCCTGGCTAGTTTTTTGTATTTTTTTTAGTATAGACGGGGTTTCACCGTGTTAGCCAGAATGGTCTCGATCTCCTGACCTCGTGATCTGCCCGTCTCGGCCTCCCAAAAAATTCACTCTTTTAGGCCAAGTGCAGTGACTCAGACCTGTAATCCCAGCACTTTCGGAGGCCGAGGCGGGTAGATCCCTTGAGGCCAGGAGTTCAAGACCAGCCTGGGCCACGTGGCAAAACCTCATCTCTACTAAAAATATAAAAAAAAAATTAGCCGAGCATGGTGGCACACACCTGTGGTCCCAGCTACTCAGGAGGCTGAGGCACAAGAATTGCTTGAACCCAGGAGGTAGAGGCTACAGTGAGCCAAGAGCGTGCCACTGCACTCCAGTCTGGGCCACACAGCAAGACTCTGTCTCAAATAACAAAAACAAAAAAAGCAAAACAAAACAAAAAACAAAGAAAAATCACTCTTTTAAAGAGCACAATTCAGTGGTTTGTAAAGTGCATTCACAAGATTGTTAGTTGCTCGCTTTTTAAGAGACAGGGAAGGACCAGTGATTCTGTCCCTGTGGGGTTTGTAACTCAAGACCCTTTGCTTGGCCCACAGCTACGTTTGGAAGAAGGACAACGTGGCCCTGACTCCATCGAGCACATCTAGGATCGTGGTGGAGAAGGATGGGTCCCTTCTCATCAGCCAGACGTGGTCGGGTGACATCGGTGATTACACCTGCGAGATTGTTTCTGAAGGCGGGAACGATTCTAGGATGGCCCGGTTGGAAGTGATGTGAGTACTGAGATGCCTGGTATTAGTCAGTTCCCAGTTATCTCGTTACTGCACCCCTGTCAGTGACTGCCACTTCACACGTGTCACACCCGTCTTGTGTCCCAAGTCAGGGGTCAGAGGCCAGTGCGTCATGCTACGTAGCTATGGATATGGACAAGGTTTTTCTGTAGTTTCTTTAAACTTCAGAATTGAGAAGTTTTGTTTTTGGTGTAGGTGGTGTGATCATTGGTTCTTATCCCCGTGGATCCTTTTTGTCATATTTTTCCCGTGGACACCTTATCCTGATAGGCCCTGTTTACCACTCTGCGCTTAAGTAGCAAGTTCATTTTTCCACGTAATGCCCTTGAGAGCTTCCAATCCGTGAGAGATGCTGGGGTGGAACCGCTGAGGTGAGGTCATTCCCATGAAAGCCACCTGGACTTGGGGTTTCAGTGAGTCCCAGCTGCCTCTCCGTGGGTAAATACTTTCCATTAAGTCTTGTGAAATCCTGAAAACAGAAAGCAACCGCCCATTACTTCCAATCTGGACCTTCCTGGGGGATCCGAAGAGCCCAGGTGGGAACCGTCAATCTCCTCTGTCTCTGCTGTCTCTCTTCCTCCACTCCCTTCTCTATTTATGGAGCAGAAATACCTGCTGACACATTCTATTTTTCTGACATGTATTTACTTGCTTTTTAAAAGCAGTGCTCTCTCAATATTCCCTGAGTGCCTGAGTACGAAAATAAAACCTGAAAATAAAGAATCCCAACCGAGCACTCGTCAGGGCAGCGGCCAACTCCGGGGGCACACCCAGCCCATCCGTCCCTGGCCACCGTTTGACGTGCTGGGCCATTCGACAAAGGCAATCTTGAGAGATGTTCCTCATTGGACCCTGCCCCCTTTGATCCAGGAAAGATTCCGTATACGAAATCATTGCCTAAAAATAGAATTTGAACACTCTGAGTATAGGAGCCCTGTCTCATTGATCCCTGAATCCCGAGACTCCAGCTGAGGGGATTAAAAATGAAAAGAATGCTTGCTAAGTGCCGAGCATGTGGCTTCTGTGTCTGCCACAGGCATGTGGAAATGAGTGGAACTCACCAACAGCTTTCCTCCAGCCCCTATTTGTGGATGTAAAAGGTTCACGATGTGTAGCAGCCAGTCTAGAAGGCCCTGTGGTGCCATCCATTCCTGAAAAAAAAATCCCATCCCACCTCCTGTTCTGTCTCCTTCCAGGATGACCCCTTGTTCTCTTTAGACAGCAGAGGTCATTCTGGTTAGTCGTGAAGCAGCAGGAGTCCCCATGGCTCTACAGAATCAGCCGTCGGCAGTGGGGTGAGGGTCCTGGTGCTGCAGCTGCAAGCCTGCCACACAGAGGGTCCTCCAGAGAATCACTGAGGGTCCAGGGCTGCGGCTGCAAGCCTGCCACACAGAGGGTCCTCCAGCTTTTGTGTACACACGGGGCAGGCAGGTCTCCCCCAGCCCCTGCCTTCAGGCATTGGAGCCTACATCCCTGGGCTCTTTCTGCCCTTCATGAGCCCCAGCCATCCACTGCCCCTGCGGCTGGGTGCCCGTCATCCGTGGGCTTCCCCAGAGGTTTCCTGATCATGCACCCCTTAGCATTCAGCCGCAGTAGCACTTCCTGCTGTTCAGTTACCAGGATGCTGCCTGCAGTTCTTCCCTGCGCACAGCTCATCCTCCTGGTAGCCCTGATCATGCTGCAGAGGACGAACATGTCTTCATGGCTCCCTCTCCTCCTGGCACAGAAGCACCTTGGAGGCACTGTTTTGAATTTTGAGTGCCTGACGTAGTGTTTGGTATATAACAGGTGTTCAATAAATGTATGTTGGTTGGTTGTTGCCTTCCTGCATGCATGAAGGAATGAATGAATGTGTGGATGTCTCCGCCCATTGGCAGGCCTCCTTCTGTTCCCCACTCTTACCTTGATGCTCACATGCCCTGGTTTCCCCACCATGGGTAAACAAGCAAGCTCATGTCACTCTACCAAAACCCAGACAGCAAGTACCCAAAGCCCTCATCCAGCCCTGCTCCTGCCTCTTTCCTCCTCCCTTTCGGATCTCAGGCTGAGGATTTTTTTTTTTTTTCATTTTGATAATATAGGAGGATATGGCCAGTGAGTTCCTAGGAGCTGTTGTACTATGCACATTTTTAAAACTACCTTTGAGAACCTTAGATCATCCATCGTTGGTATCAAATAAATACGTGTTAGCAGTTCATAAAGACTCTGTCAGCAGAAGCCAAATTGCATACTTCCAATATAGCCCATTCTTTTTATTCTGCACAATTTTATGTTCTACTGATTTACATATCTTCCCTACTATTTGCTTATTTGATTTCCTCTAAGTAAAATACATTTTTCAGCAAATGTTGCTGTATGTATAAAATAATAGGCTTTCTGTAATGGTAAACCATCTCATCTCTAAATATAGAAATCTCTGCAAATTTGTGATTCAAACCAATTTAAGTACAAACTGGTTACAGAACTGATTTGGAAGACAGTTGTTCCTCGTGAATTGTTAGTGTCATGAAGGGCTCCTCTATCCCAAACCTGGATGAATTGGTAAAGGTGTTCCTTCATGGTGTTTCTTTAGATCCAACAGGGCTTGACTCTACAGCAATGGCAATAGAATGATAATAATAATAACCCATAATTTCAGGGCATTCTGTCCTTCTCAGGTAACTTTCAAACTGAGCTCTGTAATGTTTCCATCATTTACTCAGATAACCAAAAAAAAAAAAAAAAAAGAAGAAGAAAAAAATCTCATATTGCTGAAGGGAAGGGACTGAGAGGTACTTATGGCTAAACAATGTCCTTCAGAGGAGCCTGAAAGCCTGTTTTCTCCTTGCCTCTCCACTTCAGTTAAAAGCTGCTTTGTTAAATATAGAAATTAGGAGCCTTAGAAGTGAGCTTTCAAAAATAGACCAGCCGTTGGCCTCTTCTCACGTCTGTTTGCCCTGTGTTTTACCCTTCAGCACTAAGCTTCACCTCATTGAGGCTGAGTGAAGGGGCGGCCCCTGCACCCACCTCACACCCGGAACAGTCCTGGTGGGGCTGCTGGCCAGCAGTGGGGCCAACAGGAGCAAGGGATGGCCCAGGAGGCCCTGCCTGCCTTTCACTACTTGTGTGACTTTGGACAAATCACCTCACTTCTCAGCCTCGGCCTCTCACCTTGTAGACTGGGTGTGGTATCATTCATCTCAAAGGATGGCTGTGAGGGTGGCATCCACCTGGTGTTTGTAAGATCCTGGTGTGGAAGCCAGCTGGGGAGGGATGCTCTAAGTTACAGCTCTTTGTGCTTTCTTACCATTTTATACAAGAATGCTGTTTTCCCCTTTCCTAACAGCACCCTGCCTCTGGGGCTGGGAACTTTCTAGCCCTTTACCCTGCATTATTCTGACCACATTCTATGACCTTCTGACATCGATTCGAGATGTGTCTGTTTGCTGTTGAGTCTTCAATGCCTGGACCAGTGCCAGGTATACAGTAGGAACCTAGTAAATGTCTGGGTGAGCCTCTCTCCACTTACTGAGCTGAAATGAGATGGTGTCTTTTGCCTTACTGAGGAGGACCAATTTAGGAGGGCTCTGCCTTCATCCCCCCCGAGAGAAGAGGCTTCTGAAACTCCAGATGGTTCCATGAGGCAGCCTGTAAATTAACCACACAAGTCATCATTAAATGCTGGTCACCCCTTGTTTTAGTAGCATCTTTCCTCTAGTTTTCCAGTGCCGTGGGGACAGGACCCGGTTTCAGGGATGACTTCATATTCCCCAAAGCATCTTCCTGTATTGAGCACACCAGAGGGACCAGGCTCCTAAGGCCTTATGGATTGATTAATTGTTAAATCATTTAAAGACCCAATTAGCATTTCATCTCTCCTCCTGAAATCAGAGACTAATTCTCATGAGCCTGGAGAAAACCCAATTTACGGAGCTGACTCGGAGGCCCTCAGGCAGTGAGAGAGGTTGCTTTCTATAAAACCACTTCTGCCAAAGCCATCATAAGGAGTGAAGAATTTAATACTGTTTCCCTCAGAGTTATCAAGCCCCGTCATCTTCATCCTCAGAGTGAAGTCAAAGAAGATGGGTTTGACCAAGTCATCATTTGCGCATTAAAGGGCCAAGGCTTTCTATATAGAAAAAAAGTACTTATCTGATCCTCTTCTGCCAGAGCAATTACCCCCTACAGCCACAATTCCACCAATTGCTCTCTTTCAAGTCTTTTTTCAAAACTGTTTTTCTCACACACACCTCGCTTCATCTCTCTCTCGTACAGTTGGGTTTCTGTTACTGTTGTTGTTAATTTCTGATATTCCTGAGGTGTCCTGTGCCTGACGGTGGTTTTCCCCCTATTCTCTTTAAATTACAAAGTGACTCAGCACTGGGCTTCGCTTCCATTGTTCTCTGGGACCTCTTCCATTTATCAGCCTGTGCGCTTATCACTGTCTGTGAGTCACTCCGCTGATCATTTATCTCCTTTCAAAGTTGGCAGAGTAATGCTTCGACGCAATCTATCCCCATTAGATAAGATTTTCTGAAATGGATTCAGAATATATTAAAGCCTCATTTATCTGTTATTGATGGGTTAGTCAAGGATCTCACAAAAGTTCATTTTCTAAATAACCAAAACTTATTATTTAAAGAAATAGTGGCCGGCCGCAGAGGCTCACGCCTGTAATCGCAGCACTTTGGGAGGCCGAGGCAGGTGGATCACGAGGTCAGGAGTTCAAGACCAGCCTGGCCAAGATGGCGAAACCCCGTCTCTACTAAAAATACAAAAATTAGCCAGGCATGGTGGTGGGTGCCTGTAATCCCAGCTACTCGCGGGGTTGAGGCAGAGAATTGCTTGAACCCCAGAGGCGGAGGTTGCAGTGAGCCGAAATTATGCCACTGCACTCCAGCCTGGGCAACAGAGCGAGTCTCTGTCTCAAAAAAAAAAAAAGAAAGAAAGAAACAGTTTATATTTCCAGAATAAGGCATGCCGTCTTTTATTGCATGTCTCAG